CCGTTACACTTCCGTTAGTACGCTTGCAATATGATCACTGAACTTTTCAGACACTTGCATTTAGGTCCCCCAACTTTTAAAACTTGCAACACAATCCTAAATTTCATTCTAAACCCCAAATTCCTTTTCGATCTCAAATTTATTTTTTCACTTCTCTCTTCTCATTTCCAGCGTAACTTTTCAATTGGGGATGCATGGGAAATTCTAATCTAACTTTGAATTATGTGGAGGTGTTGACTTGAATATGGGTCCATTAAGAGAAGACCCGACCAAGGGACTATCGGGACGATCAACGATTCAAGGTGTAATGTTAGATACAAGTCATCTCAAGTGAAGCATAGATGTTCGATGAAATGCTTGTGAGAAAAAAATGGGGTTATAAAAGCAGAGTTGACAAATAGTACTAAGATGAAGTTATCATTGTTGAAAGTCACTAACAAAGCTAGAATTATTTTGTATAAATGACATATAATAATTTCTTCGTTTAATCATTGTGCTTAAAGATTTTCCAACAGATGATCAAATATAATGAAATCCCAAACAACACATTCACCTCTCAGTCTCTTTAGCAACTCGAAAGGCATCATGACAGGGTCAAGTAGTTGCTCCAAATATACTACGCTATCATGATGCCTTTCGTGTTGCGTGCATGCAAATTGTCTTCTAGCTATAATTCAATACAATTCAACTGTAAAATTTACAAAACATATAAAAAATTTAATTCGTTCACGATATATCAGTCCCATAATCAACATGAACTTATTAAAAGAATACGAGCTCATAGGACGCTGAAAACCGACAGGTCGGATCAATAAAATTCCCAGTAAACTAGTACCAGCAGTATCTCAGATTGAGACTGGTGATTTCACTATGTCGATGCTCACAACCAATTCTCTGATTTAAAGAAAAACCAAACAAGAAGATCAAAAAAATTTAGCCTAGGACCCTATTTCACTTCTATTATGATGGACTGAATATATTTCATAAGGAGTATTAAAAGTTTTGATTAAGAAGAAAGAATGAAAATTAGATGGTTTTGGTTCAAAACTAACACTGAATATCCAGATCATTGACATGCAGTTCCAGAAACATAAAAATTTCAACAAAAAACACACACAATGCTAGCTGAAAATGGGAAAATACGAAAGAGGAAAAGCTTACTTCCGAATAGCCCAAAAGAGAAAATAAATACCTTCTTGCAAGTGAGGGGAGAGGCTAAGAAATAAACGCATACGGTTTTGCGTTCAAGCAATTATTCCTCCATTTTTCTTTGTAAATAAAAGCTGAAAGATACTGCTTGGGTTTACAAATTTACATGGTGGAAAATTGAAGAACAAAAACCAAACGAGAGGTGAATGCGTTGTTTGAGATTTCATTATATTTGATCATCTGTTGGAAAATCTTTAAGTACAAGGATTAAATAAAGAAATTATTATATGTCATTTATACAAAATAATTCCAGCTTTGTTGGTGACTTTCAACAATGATACTTATTTCATCTTAGTAGTATTTGTCAACTCTGCATTTCTAACCCCATTTTTTTCTCACTAGCATTTCATTGAACGTCTATGCTTCACCTTAGATGACATGTATCTAACATTACACCTTGAATCGTTGATGGTCCCGATAATCCCTTGGTCGGGTCTTCTCTCAATGAACCCTTATTCAAGTCAACACCTCCACATAATTCAAAGTTAAATTAGAATTTCCCATGCATCATCGACTGAAAAGTTTCGCTGGAAATGAGAAGAGAGAAGCAAAAAGGAAATTTGAGATCGAAAAGGAATTTGGGATTTAGAATGAAATTTAGGACTGCGTTGCAAGTTTTAAAAGTTGGGGGACCTAAATAAAAGTGCATGAATAGTTCAGTGACCATATTTCAAACGTACTAACGGCAGTGTAATGGTGTCAAATGGTCAGGGACCATATTGCAAACATACTAAATGTTGGGGGACCATTTTGCAAAAGAACTAAATGTTGGGGGGACTGTATTGCAAGTTTTAAAAGTTATGGGACCTAAATGAAAGCTTTAAAAAAGTTTAGTGACCATTACTATACTTTACCCTAAGTTTAATTATAATTGATGCTATCGAATACTGATGCTTCTCTCTTATCTTCCTCGCATCCCTTCGTCTACCGAGGGCTGTCATCGCTACTGGTGTTCTCTGCCGAACCCTAGTGCTGGTTGTTGGTTTTGGTCTCCTTTCAGGCTTTAATTTTTTTTTGGTTCTATTATATTCTGTAATGATGGGGATTTTCTGTAGTGTTTTAATGATCCATTTTATATTCGTGGTTGTCTTTCGAACGACAACATTCCCCCTTGGGGGCCATTATCACATCTCATTCGTCTGCCTGGCTTTCTCTTTCAGACTGGATAAGTTGGTTTCCAGCGGGTGGGATTGATATTCGGCAGTTTCTCTCATGTTTTATCTTTTTTTGGATACGAATCGTGCACATGTTTTTTACTCTTCTGCAAGGCACATGAAATACTTTTCTCGCACGAAGACCCATGTTCAGATGATTTGGCTGTTTACTTTTGACTCGAGTAACTGCTTCTTACGATTAACATGGCTTGCGGATTGTGGTGTAGTTCATAACCTCTCCCTGATTATTCCATTCGGTTTTATCTCTTTCCGCCTTACGCTCCCACAACTATTTTTTAGTTTTCAAGACTGGTTTTCTGTGGATAATGATGTACATAGTTTACTGTCCAATCTTACTTTTACAGAAGATGAGACAGGCGACCTTCTTGTTGCTACGCACACCGTAGCTATCCCTGCTGACTCATCTGACCATTGGATGATGGGTCGACTCTTCACAAACAACGATATTGATTCTGGTTCAGTTATACGCGTATTCAACAACATCTGGGGCTCTACCCGAGTGATTAAAATCTCCCATCTTGGGGATTCTTATTTCTTTTTCAAGTTTCTTTCTTGTGATGCGAAATTGGAAATTTTAAGCAGGACACCCTGGTCTTATACGGTGACCTTCTCGCCTTAACGCCTTATGATCCTAGCCACAGTTGGTGTGATTATGACTTTTTCACTCTTCCTCTTTGGGTTCGAGCTTATGATGTTTCTCTCGGTTGGTTGAATGAGACTATAGGTACCTTGATTGGTCGTCAACTGATAACTCTCCAAAAAACTATTATTTAGAGCCTTTTTACTTAGGTTAAACTTGAACTTTAGCATTTCTAGGATCACATTTAGAATAATTTTAGCATATTTTACATCATTTGCATATTGGGAGAGATTGTTGTATCTTGGGCTGATTTTGCTGTGAATTTGCTACTCTAATGCTGTAACTTTGTCTGATGTTGTAGGTGTTGCTGTGAGCTGATACGAGATAGAGTTGCTGAGTCGTTGCTATAGCATTCAACACATCACCATACAATTAGAGAAATTTTAGGATTTGATTAGCTGTTGAAGATAAGGGTGGAATTGAATCGATTAGCTATTGAAGATAAGGTTGGAATTTAAATTTTAAATAAAAGGAAATTTAGAAAAGAATGAAACTTTTCTATTGGTGGAAAGTTTGACCTTATGAGGCTATAAATACAATATTTTATTCACTTCTTAAGAACCTAATTCTTCCGTAGCCTCTTTTCCCCCCCATTTTACCACCTTCCATGGAAGCCAAAACCCACCACTGGGGAGTGCAACAGCAGCAAGAGACTGACGCCATGTAGTAGTGGTGATAAAGAGGATTCAACTTTATTTTCCATCCCTTTGTTGAGATAGGGAAGTAATGGTTGTTTAGTTGAATGTTATTAAATTTTGGATGATATTTTTTAACATAAGGTGTTTGATTAAATGTTTCTTACTTTGTATTATGTTTAAACTTTGTTTTATGTGCTAGCGTGCTTAATAGATGATTTATAAATGAAGTTATCTTTATATATGTGATTTCTATAATTTTTAGAGATGAAAGTTGTGTATTTTTCATACTATCGTTGTGCAACTTTGGTGATTGTGAAAAGAAAATTGGTATATAGAAATATATGATGTCAATTGTCGAGCATTGTTAATAGTTTAGTTAAATAGAACTAGTGAAAGTTGCCTCTTGGTAATTAAATGATGTTAATCTTTGTGAGACACATGAATATAATGTCTTGAGTATATGCTTAGTAGAAATTGACAAATAGTATCCACATCTATTTAATCTTTGATCTGTTGCTCTCTAGAATGCTGTAGCACTGCCTAAGATTTATCATTCTGATTTCATTATCTTTCTGTTGACTCTTTCTTCACAATCATTTTTCTATTATTCTTTTACACAACTCTTCTGTTTATTACTTTGATACGATAGTATATGCTTGCACTGTGGTATAGCATTATTATTATCAACATCAAGTGTTTGCCGCCATTGCCAGGGAGCAATAGTTTTACATTAGAGTTTTTATTTTCATTTACTTACATATTTTTTCTTATTTTTGTAGGTACTTATTTCTTATTATTTCTTATTTGCAGTTTACTGTGATAATTTATGTCCCAAAGTGACAATGATCTAGATTTATTTGATCCTGAAATTGAACGGTGCTTTGCCACCATTACCACATGATGATAACAGAGAATTGCCAGCTGGAAATGGAGTTGAACAATAGCAATATTACAACATGGATGACCGCAATAGACCAATAAGAGAACACGTTGTGCTAACCCCTAGATGATTTACATCATGACATTTTACAATCAACAATCCAGACTGCGAACTTTGAGTTGAAGCCAGTGATGTTTCAGATATTGTAGTCCATGGGACAATATAATGATTCATATATCGAGTATCCGAGAGCACACCTTTGGGCATTCATGGAGATGTGTGATTCCTTTGTATAATAAAGAGTTCCTAAAGAAGCTTTGAAGCTGAAGCTTTTTCCTTACTCGATGCGAGACAAAGCTAGAACATGGCTCAATTCGCTGCCTCCGGTTGTTATAACATCTTGGAATGAATTAGCGCAAAACATTCTACTGCTCTTTAATCCACCCAATATGAATGTGAAGCTGAGGAATGACTTTACCTCCTTCAAGCAACTAGAAGGTGAAAATTTATATGAAGCATGGGAGCGATTTAAGGAGTTGTTGTGAAAGTGTTTGATGCACTGATTTCCCCATTGAACGCAAATGGAGATGCTTTATAATGAGTTGAACATGCATACTCGCATGGTTGTCGATGCTTCAGCAAATAGAGCATTGCTAGATAAGTCATACAATGAAGCAAATGATATATTAGAGAGTATTTCCAATAATGACCATCAATACCCCAACACAAGGAACATGTTTGGCAAACGCAATGTTGCAGCAACGAACACTAATACACTAAATTCAATGGCTTCCAAAATCACAGCATTGATATATATGATGAAGAAGTTACAAAATCCAGGAAACATGTATGACGTAAAAGTCACATCTCATCTCTCTTGTGTTTATTGTGGTGATGCACATAACTATAAAAAAATATCCACAAGACCCCCAATCTATTTGTTTTATGAGAAATATTAATAGGGGTGATAATTCTAACACTTATGGGAACTCATACAATGCCAACTACTATTCCAATTTATCTTGGAGAAGCCAAAATGTTGTCAATCCCAATATTGTGCAATCTAATCATGGAAATCAATAGTAGCATTATAATCAGCATCAGACACAACATCAGTCAATCGCGTAACCACATCAAAGACATAATTAGCAAGGGAAGACTTTCAACCAAGCTACAACTTCATCATCACTTAAATCTCTCCTAAAGGGGTACATCTCAAGGAATTAAGCCTTAATCTAGATCCAGTCAGCATCACTGAGAGCATTGGAGAATCAGGTTGGACAGTTGGCACATGCTATGAGCAACAGGTAGCAAGGAATGTTTCCTAGAGACACTAAAAATCCAATGATGCATGGAAAAACTGTTAGAGTATGCCCAAAGACCAATCATATGATGATTGTAATAATACCTTTATTTACCGATTTTATTGAATAAAGGCATTGCCACTATTATTTTCAGTTATATATATGTGTTTAACATAAACTGGAAGATAATAAAGTCCATGTAATGACATAATTGTTATTATTAAAAGATCCCTAGTCAAGTATTATTATGGGCATATACAATAATAATACGCTTAAGACTAACATGTTATTGATTGATAACAACGAGTTGTCATTGACATAGAGATGTCAGAATTGATACATGATTATATTGTTAGAGAACAATGTATTGGATTGATCCACCATGAGCATATGTCTTGGATTATTATGTGAAAGTCATAACATTTCTCATGGTGATAACTATATGTATGATCCTAGACTTGTGATCAATACTATCCCAACATATATTGTTGTATGTTTTGATGCAGTTAAACAAGCTCCGTAACTGGTTGCTCTATAAAGACTGTTATTGAATATATATCAATATATGTAGTGGGTGTGTATGATTAAGATAGGATTTGTCATTCCTACATAATAGGAAATATATCACAGGCCACTTGATTGAGTGAGACTAGAAACGCATGGCCATGCTCGAATAAGTTGATATGAGATATCACAAACTATTCATTAATTAAAGTCTACTCTAGATATCAAGAAACAATAGATGGGCTATACAAGTGTGACTATTCCAAGACTTGTCCCTATTCTAGATATAAAGGACATAAGGATGTAATACATAAAAGAGTTAATCACCAAGATGATATGTCGAATCATATTTTCTTGTAACTTAGGTGACAATGATATATTGCTAGATGTCACTCATTGTAAGTAATTTTATAATTGTTCTAATAATTACTACTAACGTTACAAGAACCTACAAGGTCACACCCTAGGATTGAAATGAGAATAGATGTATATTTTGTTGTACGTTACTAAAATATATCTAAAGTTAAGATATGTATATTTGATATACATATGAATTTAATTATCCCGAATATATTAAGTAAGCATTAAAAGAATGTAATTTATATTACAACTCTTTTAATTGATATATATATAATTCAGAATAATAAAATAAATATTTTAAGTAAACATTAAACATTGTAATTCTGATTTTAAGTCTTTAATGTATATTTAAGTTGAATTAATTAAATAATATTTTATTTATTAATTCAAAACAACTTTAAAAACCCTAAGATGTTAGGGTAATGGATATAAAAGGGTATGTTAGGTCTAGCAGTCGTTTTGCAACACACACACAAACCCTTCAGCCGTTTTCTCTCAAAACAGTTTTGGGGAAAAAATATTGCTCTCAATCGGGTGAACTGAGTAGAGGCCGAGACGTGATTTCATGGAGGCTTTCGATTCGAATCGATCTACACCACCGTATTCACTGTTGTTCTTGCTGTTTTTAAGGAACCCCTGTAAGTATTCACATCTCTTCCTCCCGATTTTGGTTTTTCGTACTTGAATCGTTGGTGAGACCGTCGAGTTTTTGTTTCCGATGCGCCATGGGGTGCGCTGACGGTCCTAACAGTGACATTAGAGCCACTTGTACGATCTGAAATTGGGTTAAATTTTTTGTTGATGCGATATGTATGTGATGCATGTTCTAGTTTTATCGATTTCGGTAAATACGTTGATATCATTGTTCAAATCGATAACTACAACAATTAATATGTTAATTTGTTAATATGTTTTTCAATCGATTTGTTACTGGATGATCTGTGGGATTGCGATAGCAGATCGCGTTTGGCAGTGGAACAATGGTTGTTCCGATGCAGAAAACCTTTGGGATTGAAAATCCCAAAAGAATGATTCTGTTGATAATTATTATCAAATCGTGAAGTTTTTCCATGGAAACAGAAGTACTGTTTTTCAAAAAAAAAAAATACCACCCCAAGGTACAAATTGAAAACCTTCGCCCCTTGACCCCTCATCAGTAGTACAAATTGAAGGCCCATATTAATATTTTAACAAAGGCGTAACAACGTGTATATATATATGATATGTTTTTTTTACACGATGTTTGATATGCATGGTTATAGCCCTTGTTTAATTTACAATGGTTTATTTTGAAATATGGTCTGTGAGCCGTGCCTTTCTATATCTTTGTTGTATTTCTCTTCTCATCTTACTCCCTTTTATGTAAAACGAGTTTCTTTTAAAATTGTAAACCTATGAAGATTCACAAGGAGCACAAGAATGGCGAGAAGTTACCTAGAGAGCAGTCTTAGGCTTTAGGGTTCTTGGTTCTCCCATTGGCTTGGGATGGGTCACCTTAGTCATTGTTTTGGGCTATAACCATTGCATCTTATTTATTGCTATATTTGTTATGTATGCAATGCATCAAATGATAAAATAAGATTAAATATTGATGATATCAATAAGGGCCTAATATTAAAATGAATAATTATGAGATAATTACGCAAATCCCTTTTTATAATCTAAGTTAACTTAACCGTCCGATATTTACCCTCGTTAAGGCTTTGATTGATATTGTATGGGCTTTGCCAAAGAATTGACACATAAATCTCTCTTGGTTAAACGCGAAGAATAAGCAAGTGATATTCACCAGTTGAAATATTGGTAATAAATTAGCTAGGTTATTCTAATAGGATTAGAAACCGATAGGTTAAATATTTGGATAAGTCATGAGATGACTTGAACAAAAGTTGTTCACCAAAATGAGGAGTTACATAAGATGTAACTAGTAAAGTGTTACTTAACTAAATAATCACTATCCTAAAAGAAAAGCCAAAGCTAATTTAGGAAATTGATGTATCATGGATCCTCACCCACTAAAAAATTTTTCGTTGAATTCTTTCAAAATTACAACAGAGAGGGTTTTTAATTTTGAATAAAATAGTGGGAGTAATTTGTAAATAAAGTCCTATTTATAAATTTTAATTTGGTAAATTCACTTACTTTAATATTTCCATTGTTGTAGATTTAATGGCAAACAACACTTTATCACTGCAATCACTTCTTGAGAAGGATAAACTTAATGGCATAAACTTCCTTGACTGGTTTCGTAATTTGAGAATTGTTCTCAAACAGGAAAGGAAGGAATATGTCATTGAGGAACTTGTTCCTGATGAACCGGCAACTAATGCTTCAAAAGTTGACAAAGACAAATTCAAGAAACGTATGGATGAAATGTTAGATGTTGGATGTCTAATGCTTGCCACCATGACTCCTGAGCTTCAGAAGCAACATGAGGACATGGTTGCATATGAGATGATTCAAAATCTCAAAGAAATATATGAAGGGAAAGCACGTCAAGAGATATATGAGACCTCTAAAGCTCTTTTTCAATGCAAAATGGCAGAGGTAACTCCTATAGAAGCTCATGTCATCAAGATGATGGGCTACATCCAAACGTTGGAAAAGTTGGGGTTTCCTCTTAAAGATGAATTGGCTATCGATGTTATCCTGCAATCGTTGCCAGATAGCTTTAGCCAATTTGTCCTTAATTTCAACATGAATGAAATTAACAAGACTTTGCCACAGTTACTTAGCATGTTACGAACTACTGAAAGTAACATGAAAAAGGTTGGACCTAAGCCCATTCTGATGGTCCACAAGGACAAAGGAAAGGGAAAGAAAAAGGTAGTGACAAAGTCTAAGGGTAATGGTAAGACCAAGCCAAAAGGGAAAAATGCATTGAAACCCAAAGGGGGAGTTAGCAAAGAAGAAAAATGTTTCCATTGCAATAAGACCGGACACTGGAAGAGAAACTGCCCTGTTTACATTGAAGAGATTAAGAAGGAAAAAGCAAACGGAACGTTTGTTTCAGGTATTTATGTTATTGATGTTAATTTGTCAACATCTACTTCTTAGGTATTAGATACCAGTTGTGGTTCTCATATTTATACTTCAGTACAGGGACTGCAAAAGAGAAGGAATCTGGCTAAAGGAGACGTGGACCTACGAGTGGGAAATGGAGCAAGAGTTGCTGCATTAGCTATAGGGACATATGTTTTATCTTTGCCTAGTGGACTTGATTTAAATTTAGAGGATTGCTATTATGTGCCTAGTTTGACTAAGAACATTATTTCTATTTCTTGTTTGGACAAGATTGGTTTTGAGATTATTATTAAGAATAATTGTTGTTCTTTTTATCTCGATAGTGTTTTTTATGGTTCGACACAATTGGTTAATGGTCTCTATATTTTGGATC